TTCTGCCTAGGATCCATTTTTATAAAAACTGAACATAATAAATACCAATGGCTCTATCAACACTGACGCCTATGCAAGATAAAATGAAGAGACAGAAGAAGGGATGTAATTTAGTCTAATTCTTCTTGTTTTGAGAAACCACTATCTGTCACTGGCTGATTGATTGATTATTAATGGAGGGAGGATCTGGTAGAAGGAAACCTTTTAGATATTTTGCAGCCCTTTTTGCAGCCTAACCTTGTAAGATGCTATTTTACTTTTTATATTTTATATCCATATTTTTATCTTAAGTGTATACATTAGTCTGTTTTATTGCATGACGTATACCCACAGTTTTTAGATATTTTTATAATTTTATTTACCTATTCCATATTATATGTTTCATGTTGCACGATTGTACCATAAAAAATTCCTAGTTGTGAACTCCTTCACTAACAATGGCAATAAACCTGATTCTGATTCTAACAGGAGTGTCCTATGTCAGCTTCCTTTTCCCTGCTAAGGTAAACATCTGCACAGCATGATGCAGCCACCACCATGCTTCATGTTTAGGAGCACTCCTCCATTATGTGTGTTTTTGGTGTATTCAGATATATTCTGACCTGATCAGAGACATCAGCGTTGTCATGTCAACTTATCCTCTTGATGCCTGAATTTAGACACGGGTAAAAATCTAAACTTTATATTGTATATCTTGGCTGTGTGCTAAATTCAAATGTATTTGCAACAAAGGGGAATCAGGGTGTCATGACTCTGCAGTTTTTCGTTCTGTTTAAGTTTTCTTTTTTAATTTTCAGTTATACTTTGATTCATGTCTTTCTCTGTTTTCTAGCTTATTGGTTTTATTTCCTTTTTGTGTTCTGCTCATGTCGTCTTGTCATCAGAGAACCAAGCCGAGCTCACCTCAAGAACTGGTCTGCGGTTATCTCGGTTCAGTTGTGTCTAGCTCGGTTCGGTTCAGTTTGCTTTCCATTTAGACACCATAAGTTATCTCAATTACTGAGCTCGGACCGGTCTCTGCACGGTTTTTCAAGGGTAGTGTAAATGGGGTAAATGTTTTAAAGTGGTTCTGGTCAGTTAGAGTTACTGAGATCCAGAGATATCACAGAAAAAAGAACCTAATTCAGACGGAGATCGTCTGGACAGCAAACACTGTTCAACAGTCCAAACAGGAAGTGAACACGATACGCCGCACCAACATTTAGCACCCTCTAGTTGTTCAGGCTCCCATTTATACACCTCATGTTCAGTCACTGTTCGCTGGTTTCTCAGTGTGTTTTCCTGGATGTCTCCACTGTTAAAAGTTAGTACATTATGGGCCGGATTTATCAAGATCCAACTTTGCGTGCAGTAATTTGCGCTCGCAAACTGGAATTTTGCGCGAGGGGCTGAACCA